CTTGAATATGCAGGAGCTGCTAATGGTACATGGCTGTCAACTCTATGTTCTCTCTCCCCATTGTTCCATGGAGTCTTTGCTATGCTTTTCAGCCTTCACTGAACATTACTCTGAGTCAGTCCCTTGGGGATGTGATTCTTCCTTTGTTTTTCCTTTGTTGTATCTGTCTGTGGCTGAAAGCAGTGCCAGTTCTTCCCTATTCATCCACTAGGGTACTATCCCTTTGCCTATTTCTTAATTAGAGCATTTCTTTTGTTGTTGAATTTCTTGAGCTTCTTATATATTCTAAATATAAATCCTTTATAAGATGCACAGCTTACAAATATTTATCCCACTCTTTAGGTTGTTTCTTCACTCTGTTCACGTCCTTTACTGAGAAGGATCATCTTAGTTTGATACAGTTCTTTCCATGTGTCTACTTTTGCTTTGGTTGCCTATCATTTTGTGTCTTTTCTAAAAAATTTTTGCCTATGTCAGTATATTGAAATGTTTATCTTTTCTATTAGTAGTTTAATAGTTTTAGGTCCTACATTTATATGTTTTATCAGTCTTGAGTTAATTTTTGAGTAGGGTGGAACGTGAAGGCAGTACATTGTTACATTCCTCTGCACAGATATATTCAGATTTCCCATACCACTTACGGAAGAGAGTGCCTTTTCCTCAGTGTATGTTTTTGGGGTCATTGTCAAAGGTCAATTAGGTATATTTGTGTGGATTTATTTCTTGGATTTCCATTCTGTTCCACTAGTCTATTCTGATGCTGTACCATGGTGATTTAGTAACAACAGCGCTGTGGTATGTCTTAACATCTGTTATTATGTTTCTTTCAGCTTTGTTTTTATTATTCAAAATCATTTTGATATTTGTTTTGTGTATGAGTGTTTTCATATACATTTAGAACATTTTTCTAATTCTCTGAGGAATGTCAGGGATATTTTGAAGGGGACTGCACTGAATCTGTAAACAGCTTTGTGCAAAATGGACATTTTCCAGGATCTGTGTCCCAGATTCAAAATTCCCCAACTCTTCTTTACTTCATGCTTACCAATGGTTGACAAAAATACAAACAATTACAGACATCACTTGGCATTAATCAGTTACAATATTTACAATTTATGGACATTTAAGAAAACAGTTTATACCCACAAAATGTAATTGGTAAAAGTTTTATATAAAGACAGTCATTCATTCATAGACTTTGATATGCCAAGTGATTTTTTTTAATTTTGTCTTTCTTACTTTTTAAATTGTATTAATACAAATTTCACTCATTTCACAGGTACAATTCTTTTTTTTTAATTGTTATTAACATTGTATTATGTGATACAGTTTTATAGGCACTGGGGATTCCCCCCGCCCCTCCCGCAACCCTCCCCCCATAGTGGATTCCTCCACCTTGCTGCATAACCACAGTTCAAGTTCAGTTGAGATTCCTTCATTGCAAGCATATACCTAGCATAAAGTCCAGCATCTATTGTCACAGGTACAATTCTCAGAAAATATTCATGCCTTTCCTCCTTCAATCCCCTCCTTCTTTTCTTTTTTTCCCTTAATTTCTGCACAAATCATAATTTCAGTCCACTCTATAATCAAAAGTTTAATAGGTGTTTCTTAAACAGTATCTAACCCACACTACTGATTGATTTCAAAGGAGAAAAGGTAACAGATTATTTACCATAGCTTAGACATTTGAGTAGAAAAACAAAAAAATGTATTTCTCTTAAGTTTGTTGTTGTTGTTGTTCAATGCTAGACTTGTGCTATAGATAAAATATATGTTAACAGGTTGTTGGTAGATAGAAACATGGGTGATAAGAGGAATGGTCAGTCCATTGTCCATTTAGTCTTTGTCCAAAAGGGTAAGGTTACATGGAGGAAAAGGACAGAAGACTGGAGAAGTAAGTATATGTCAGGAGTGTGGCCATGCAGATAACTGCTTTTAGAAGGAAGGGGCTAAATACACAAAAAAGAATAGTTGAGAACAGAATACTTTGGATATTTTAAGGGACATGATTCTAAAACAGGAAAAGCTATCATTAGTTTCAAAACAAATTAGAAGAAACAGTAAAATAAGTAAAATATACATTCCTCAAACCCTGAAAAACCCATTGAGTTGGGCAGGTGATTTATGCAAGTTGTATAAAAAAATAAAAGTACACTTTTTTCAAAGAAAAAGAAGTGGAAAATACTACCTTCAGACTTCCTGATTACAGATACATGTAACATCTAAAGAAATACTTTCCAAAATGTTACTGGGTACTTTCCAGCTTATTAAATTCTTAATTTGTAGATTTCATATTTTCTTTATCCGCTTTTATTTATGTATTTGTTTTCTTATATGTGATAATGGCTTTTTTTCATAAATGATTCTTTGTTTTTGTTAAGCTTTGAAGAAACACTTAAAAGAAAAATGAATGGTGCCTAGCACAGTAGCCTATTGGCTAAAGTCCTTGCCTTTCACGTGCTGCGATCCCATATGGGTGCAGGTTCTAATCCTGGTGGTACTGCTTCCCATCCAGATCCCTGCCTGTGGCCTGGGAAAGCAATTGAGGAAGGCCCAAGGCCCTAGGATTCTGACCCCACCTGGGAGACCCAGAAGAAGCTCTGGGCTCCTGACTTCAGATCAGGTCAGCTCCGGTTGTTGTGAATCATTGGAAGGAAGATCTTCCTGTCTCTCCTCCTCTTTGTATATCTACTTTCAATAAAAATACATATATATAATGTGTATATATAAATAATAAATTATAAAAATTTTAAAAGAACAAATGAATAAAGATTAAAAACTATTTTAAACATAATATATATACAAATAAATTAAAAAAAAATTTTAAAGAACAATGAATGGAATCAAGTATTGCATGGTTGAAGTAACTATATAACATTCTTTCAATGTAGTTAGCTCTACGTGCAAAGTAAACACCTTGGGAGGAAGCAGTTGGGAAAAGTGAGTTGGGATGGCATAAGTCCTTAACTGTCTAGGATAAATAAAGATATAAAGAAAGTTGTATATACTCTCTTTTTGAGCCCTTCTCTACCACAAAATCACTCTAGTTACACCAATTTAAGCTTTGTATCATTTAGCTTCCACACTTACAGACCTCAAAAACCCCAGAGAAATTATTTTGGATATCAATCATATGTAAGTTTTATGTGTTTCAAAGTTATAAAACCAGTTTTTCTGTGTGCAAAGCAATTTTACTTAGATATTACAATATTTTACAAGGACAACAAACGAAGGCTTTGGATGGGGCATGTATTCTTCAGTTCAGCACAGGCCGAACCACTCTGAAGAGTATAATATTACTGGTCCCTGGAGAGTGTCCTGCTTAAAGAATATTTGCTGTCCCCAGGGAAGAGCTAGAATGGGCATAATCTGATATTAGAGCAAGGTAAGATCATGAGTATACCAAAAAGAATATGAAAGAGTTTCAAAAACACTGAAGATAGGATTTGGAAGATAAATAAAACTTTTCCTAGTAACCAATAATTTACCAGTTCAAAGATTATCACGTCACTCTGCTACAGTGGCTTAAAATATGAAATTCTCAAGTTACTTGAGCAAATTGTCCCATAATTAAATTTTCTCCAGATCCATCCCCAAAGGTTTCCCATTTTAAGAGAGAGAGAGAGAGAAAAGGAAAGAAAATGAGAGTCATACTCCAATTGTCACATTCCAATTAATGACTACTGATGGAAAAAGAGAACATTTATTCTTAAGATTCTCTTCCCTTTCCATGTTATTTAACCTCAGATTCCAGGATGTAACAAATACATAATATGAGCATATACATGTTTTTGTGAGTGTACATGTCCACACATGCACCTTGTGCTTAAATAATGGGAGTCAGCAGAAGGCATATAGGGCCATGGACAAAAATGATGGAATCAGTTTATGATGAATATTTTTTAAAGAAGTTTTAGTTTGTTAAGCTCAATTGTTTTGATCTAAGGCTTACCAAATTCTTTCAACATAAAAATCAGCTCATTCAGATTTATACCACCCATAATTTAAACTGTAACCCACATTAATTGATTTGATATTACAATCACAGATACTGCATAGATTCCTATATTCCACACTAGCATACATAGTAGATACATAAATATCCATTATATTGTAGAATCTGTAATATATGTATATAATTCACATTTATGTAAACATCTATCCATACTTATATAAAATTTAGAAAAACAGTATTATTTATGAAGCATGGAAGGTTTCATGGAAAGAACAATCGTTGTTACACACACAGCCCATGATTAAATAGAATTCTTGGAGCCCAATGCAAAATAAAAGTGTGAATCACCTTGATAATGTTATTAAGAGTTTCAATTAAGTGGCAACAGAGCATTAGGCCAAGCATGTCTTCTTCTAAGCCTAAAGCCAACTTTGGTGCAATGGTTTAAGAAATACTAGGTTAAAAAATATTAAATAGATTTCTGTGGCAAGAGTACTCAATATTTTATAGGCTAACATGAATTGTGAATTTTTAAGAAGTAAGATCAATGTTCTATGGAACACATTGTAAAATACAGTTCAAGCTAATCAGACATGTTAGCATGTTAGCTGGTTTTAACATGATTTTTTAGGCATAAATCACCGTATTTTCCCCACTTTGTGAAAATTTCCTCCACATTTTAAATTATGTAACTAGAGCTCACTATAGATGCAGACAGCATGGATTTACTAAATGTACTTTTAAAATTTTTAAATATATTTTTATTTTGAATTAGGAATCATAATTCTATCAGTCTCTTATTTAAGTGTACCCCCAACATTGTTGGTACGTTTTTTAATCATATTCTCTTTCACCATTTGGTTGATTGACCCATGGCTAAACACTTCAAATGTTTTCTGTGCCAATGGAGATGATTTGACTGAGACTAAATCTTATACCAACCTCTCCATCCACCCCCCCACCACACTACACACACACACACACACACACACACACACACACACAAGCCTTTCAAATCAGAGGAAATAACGTCTTTACTTACCATTACCCAGTTCCCAAGAAATGTTGTACTTTTTGCTGGCACTGTACTTCAACAGACTCAAGGCACTAGAACTGTTCCAGGAGTTATTGGGATTACGACGCAGTGCATTTAGAGCAAATATCAGGTGGAGTCCAGAGCAATCAGCAAAGTTATAAAGTTTATCTAAAGACCTGGCTGGGAAGAAATAGAGAAAGGCTTGTAACTTTCAAATCAACATTGCAACCAAAGGCCAATACTAGCTATTATTAAAAGCCTTTCTGAGCTTCATGCTAATAAGAAATCACACAAACAGGTTCTATACAATATATAGAATTATAGAGAAATTGCAAATTTGCAACCAAAGGTTCAATACAGAATACCCTAGTAATGAAACTGAATTATTGACATTCAAAAATTGGGAGATCACAAAAAGTCACTGGATCTACCACTTTTCTTGAAATAAATCAGAAGACCTCATCCTACTGGGTCTACTTTCTTGCATAAGATGAGAGAAATAGTGTCAGGGAAGACCAGCATAGATGGCTAGCTTACCGTCTTGGACAACTGTTGAGTCTGGGACAACTTTCAACAAACTTCACTCCAGTCTAGATATCTAATATTTTTGAGAATCAAAATACTACAGCCATTATTAGAGACATGTCTACTGACAGACTAATGCCAGACACCATCTACTGTCACTGTGTCTATCACTCCCACTCAATTCCTTAATTTCTGTTTCCAACATCTATTGTTTTGGCTATCATTTCCACTTGCACAAATTATTGCACTGTTTATTTGCTTCTAGAGTCTTCCCATCTTGTCAATTCATCTCCCCACCAATCATTCTCCTATTTCACTCATCTTGCTTTTTCTCCCACAAACTCCAGAGTCATGTATGTTTCCTCTATGAGGCCTGCAAAAGGTTCTAACTGCATACTGCAACTTCAGATTTTAATTACCAGTGCCAAATCCCAGCGTAACCTATGCATGCATGGCACCATGAACAGACTACAGACTGGGCTAAAACCCAGTGCAGCTCTTTTTCTCCCTTTCTGAGTGACTTCTGAGTTAGGGTTTATGTATTATAATTATGAATGCTCACATCAGGCTTGGACCTGGCACTGCTATGATCTCGGCCACTGCCAGTGGGTCCCCTCCACCTTGCTGGAACTGAAAGGAGCTCCCCTAAACTGAAGCCAAAGTCACCTACCAAACTGACATCCAAAGGCAAATCTTGAAGAAGTGTTCAGTAAACAAAAGCCCAGAAGGGAGCCCACACATGTACAGCCAACTAATCTTTGACAAGAAATTTGAAAACAATCCAGGAAAAAAGCCTGGTCTCTTCAACAAATACTGCTGGGACAACTGGATAGCAGTCTGAAGAGGTCAGAAGCAAGACCCCGCCCCCACCCATCAGCTTAAACAACAATCAGTTCTAAATGAATCAAGCATTTAAATTTGCAGCTAGAAACCATCAAACTATTAGAGGAAAACACAGGAAGCACTCTCCAAAATATAGGAACTGGGAAAGATTTAGAAAAATCACCAAAAGCACAGACAGTCAAAGCCAAAATAAACAGCTGGGATTACATCAAGCCAAGAAGCTTCTGAACAGCAAAGAAAACGATCAACGAAGTGAAGAAGCAACCAACGGAATGGGAAAAAAATCTTTTCACACTTCACAACCAATAGAGGACTAATATCCAGGATTTCCAAACAGCTTCAGAAACTCAATGACAGCAAAACAAACAACCCTGTGAAAGAAATGGGCAAAGGAAATATTTCAAGGAAGTAATTCAAGAGAACAAATTCAAATGGTTATTACACATATGAGAAAAAAAATGTTTAGGCTCCTTGGCTGTCAGGGAAATACAAATGAAAACTACACTGAGATTCCACCTAATTCCAGTGAGAATGGCCTACATTTAAAACTGTATTGGGGGCTCGACACAGTTGCCTAGTGGCTAAACTCCTCACTGTGGACACACCAGGATCTCATATAGGTGCCGGTTCTAATCCCGGCAGCTCAACTTCCCATCCAGCTCCCTGTTTGTGGCCTGGGAAAGTAGTCAAGGACGGCCCAATGCTTTGGGACCCTGCACCACCTGGAAGACCTGGAGGAAGTTCCTGGATCCTGGCTTCGGATAGGCACAGTACCAGTCATTGCAGTCACTTGGGGAGTGAATCATGGGATGGAAGAGCTTCTTCTCCGTCTCTCCTCCTCTCTGTATATCTGACTTTGTGATAAAAATAAATTAATTAAAAAAAAGCGCTCTACTGAAAACATCTGATGTGGGGAAAAAGGTACCCTCTTTCATTGTTGGTTGGAATGTAGGCTAATACAATCACTATGATAGTATGCAGAGTGTTAACAGAACTGAAAATTAATCTGCTATACAATCAGGCTATCTGGCTTCTGAGAATATATCCAAAGGAAATGAAGTCTGCTTATGAGAAAGCACGTTCTAGAACAGCAAAGACATAGAAACAATCCACATGCCTATCAAAAGAGGAGTGAATTAAAAAAAAAACCTGTGGTATATCCACTCCATGGATTAATATTCAGCCATTTAAAAGAATGAGATTCCACCATTTGCAACCAAATGGTCCCAACTAGACACCATTATGCTCAGTGAAAATAGCCAATTCCAGAAGGACAAATAACATATGTTCTCTCGGATATAAAGCAACCTTCATGCAAAATACAAGATCAAGGGTCCATTCAATATTGTTTGTGCTACATCTCAGGCATTTTGATATTTTTGCTTTTATTTTCATTCCTTCAAAGGAGCTTTGTTTTTTAAAAAGATTTATTTTATTATTATTTTAATTGGAAAATCAGATATGCAGAAAGGAAGAGAGGAAGATCTTCCATCCATTCATTGACTCCCAAAGCAGCTGCAACAATTGGAGCTGAGCCAATCCAAAGCCAGGTTCCCAAGGCTTTGGGCTGTCTTGAACTGTTTCCCAGACAACAAGCAGGCAGCTGGATGGGCAGCTGGGCCCACCGGGATTAGAACCAGCACCCATATGGGATCCTGGAGTGTGCAAGGTGAGGACTTTAGCTGCTAGGCTACTGAGCAAGTCCTCAAGAGGTTTTTATTATTATTATTATTTCCACATTAACTCATAGGTCACACAGTAGCATGATGGTGACACATCTGAAGAAACATCCAGAAAATGGAGGAGCCAGCCATGTGGACCAGGTTGTAGCACATGCTGAGTGTAAGAACTGGAGCCAGGGTTGGGCTGGGGAAAATCCCATGGACACATCGTTTAACTGCAAAGTACTTGTTGCAAGACCAGGTCACCACATTGCTGACTCCAGAGAAAAGACAAAGAGTACATAAATGACAAGACAACTCGGTCCTTTAATCAATAGAAGACCTCAGATATCTCTTCAAAGGATAGAAAGAAAAACAAGTGTCACAACACCTGCAGATCAAGTTCTGTAGAAAGTACCTAGGACTGTGGACACTCTGAGAGAGACACAGACAACCAACAGACATTGAAACTTACACAGAGAAAACCAAGAAGAGCCAATGCGAGGACAGGTGGAATATGTCACCTCCACCTTTCACACAATACCACTCAACACCCCCAGGGCATTCTTCCCATTCCAAGAACCCCCCAGGTGGTATTAGTAGACCATCTCCACTCTGCTACTGATGCAGTTTGACATGACATGAAGGAACTATAAATTCTCTTCCCCCTGCAACTTTCTCTATGATGGAACTTATTCATCCCCTCTCCATTCTCACTAGAAACCCACATTAGTCAGCAACCCCCATACCCTCATTTCTGCATTGAATGTTAAAAAATTAATTATTATTGCTACGGATTAGACAAATTTTAAAAAGAACTAAACCAACTAAACCACTAGAAAAAAACATAGGCTTACACTTTACGATACTGGCACAGGCAAGTTTTTCAGATAAGGACAAAAAAGCAAAAGAAACAAAATTAAATAAAGTGACATAACTTATCCTGACATGAAACTCAGAATGGCACTTTATCACTTCTGTGAAATTCTTACCAAAAAATGGAAAACACAAGTTTAATACGAGAAAACATAAATCATTTTGAGTTTGTTTTTGTGTATGACATTAGATAATCATCTAATTTCCTTCTTTTGTATATGATATCCAAATTTCCCAACATCTTTTATTGAAAAAACTGTGCATTCCATGATGTGTGATATTGATATCCTTGTTCAAGATTAGCTCCCTGTAAATGTGTGAGCTTATTTGTGAACTCTCTGTTTGTAAGCAGGTGCCACAATTTTTCCATTAATGTAGCTTTGTAATACGTTTTGAAGCCAAGAAATATGATGACTACACCTTTGAGTCTCTTAGTCAAGATGACGTTGACTATTTAAGGTCTTTTATAGCAAATATCATTAGAATTTTAATAATGATGACATTCAACCCATACATCACTTTGAGTAGCAAGGATATTTTTATATTTATTTTTCTTACACACAGCTTTGGATATAGCTCCTTTTAGTGGAAAGTTGGGTTGTTGATTCTTTTTTTTCCTTAATGTACACATTTATTGCTATATAGTTCCCTCTAGGTTAAAATTCTGATATAAAGGATATAAATATAAAATCATATATTCAGAGACTTCTGAAAATGAGGATAGTGTTTCCAGTGTCAAAAAAGATGGAATAACCCAATTACACTGCATATCTCACATAGACGCCAACTAAAATTTCAGCACAGAATATGAAGGATAACTACTGAGGGAATCTGAAAGACAGATACTATCAAGTAGCTGGGACTATTTTCAAAATTTGGACAGCAATCTATAACCTGGGAAAGTTTCATAGCATTATTTTCTTCCTTTCTCTCTAAGCTTTGACTGAAGAAGGGTCTAAATAGCACAAAAATTCTGGAAAACAAAACATTATTTTTAGCCACAGGATCATGTAATCTTCTGCATACCAATTCTTCTTTTTAAAATATTTTATTAATACACAGAGAACAGAGTTTATGCATTCAGTAGGTACATATCCAGGAAGACAACTATATTTTTCTTACTCCCATGTCCCCCATACTCCTTCTCCCCTTCACCAGTTTGTTTTCAAAGACATAATTTAGAATTACTCTATATTCACAGGCTTAGTTCACCAACAATCATAACATTAAACAAATAAAAAGTAGAAAAATCACATTTTTAAAGTATAAATGCAT